CGGAAGCGTCGCGTTTGCCGGAAGTCGCCGAGGAAATGAAATGCCTCCCAGCCAGCTAGCTAACCCCTGCCGAGCTCCTCGTGCTTCTCCTCGTTTGCCACACCTTCCTTCGAGATTCTCCGCTGCCGTACCCTGGCAATCTAGGTGGCGCGGATCGAAACCGCGTTCCATAAAATTCCAGCTCGTCTTCCGTCTGCCGACGACGTCGCGAGCACGGCCGATTATTATTCCTATAGGCGCGATAAAAGCGTCGAGGCGATTTTTCCCAATCGATACGATCGAGAATAAAAGAGAGAGAGAGAGAGAGATTGGCGGTGAGCAGGAAACCGTGTATATATAGGAATCGAAAGAAACGATCGAACAAGAAACGCGGAGGTTCTCGAAGAGGTCGGCCCTGAAGAGCATTAAGCCGCGGTACCGGTGAAAGGCGAATAACACGAATGCCTTCCAAGTCGCATGGTTTCTAGTTCTAATAACGCTATTATTCTAACGCGAGCCCAGTCCGCCTACCGACTTACCGCTTTGCCACTTCTGTCTTGTATCGTCGTACAAGTTCTCTCTCTCTCTCTCTCCCTCCCCCTTTCTCTTCCGTCGTTTCTAACGCTTTAGGTCGATCGGATAATACGAGACCCACTCGATCCGATCGCTCGACGATACTTTAACGGCGCAAGGTCGACTCGGTTAACGCGCAAACCGAATTACACGCTAGGGGTTGTTGCTTCTCGGTGGGGATTTTCGGTGCATTTATTACAAAGTCGAGAAAGTGACGTACGAAGGAAGGTAATTTAACGAAACGAATTAATTTATAGTACGGCGTATTTGCCGCTCGACGAATCGCGATTTGCATAACTGGTTTCACCGAAAAGTTTCTCCAAAAGCGGATTAATAGAAATTAATATCTTAAATCGTTTAAAGGTTTTAACGATTTCGGTTTAACGATTACGGCATCGAATTTTATCTGGTCGATCGCAAAGGTGAATTTCGCGCGCGCTCTGCCGGAAATACTTATTCGACCGGGCTCCATTTTGCAGCGCGGAACGATTACGCGTATTATCGTTACGAATGCGCAAAGAGCAAGTGCTAAACGTAAATCGCGTAAAAAGTTTAGAAATAACGCGAATAGCAGTCCCTCGAAAAAGATTCGAAGCTGATCGAAGATCGTTTAACGCGAGCCGTCCGTGCTGCAAAGACTCGTCGGAAACGAGTGAAAAAATAACTCGAGGATACTCGAGGAGGAAGAAAAGAATTGAATTTCCTCGACGCGTACGTTTTTACGTATTTGCACTCGGTCGTGCAAGTTTTTCCGTTTTTTAAGAAAGATGGCAAAACGGGAGAATTATTAAAGCGTTTAATCGTTGCTCGTGGGAACCGAAGGCCTGGCGAAACTAATTACGGCCAGCGAACGATAACGATTTTGTCGTCGCAGGAAGTCTGGTGATTTTTCGTGCGTGGTCAGGGGGACGATCGCCTTTCCCTCTACACGTTCCTCGTCCCCTTCTTCGCTCTCTTTAACTCGCCGTCCAACAACCTGCTCCTCGTATACCTCGATTAAACGAAGAAATCCGCGTAATTCGCGCCATCTTCCCCCGCCATCCACTTTCCTTGCTATTACTTTTCCGACGAATCTTCGAAGTAGCCGCGATCCTCGCCGCGTAATCGGACGAACGAAATTACCAAGTTTCCGAGAAGAATTTGTCGAGATTAGAAAGAAACATCCGTTAGATTTGCCGCTAGATCCGTTGGATTAGTATCGTTCGGATATTCGTAGTCGCGGAAGAAAAGTTCGATAGAGGTGTGCCGTCGGTCGGCGTCGTGCGATTTTATTCTTCTTTCCCGTGTAACGCGAGACTCTGTGAGGGAAACGCCGATATCGTTTGGCGAGTACAGCGGTCCAGGGTGCACGGTACGTGGACGACGACGCTTCTCGTCGTTGGATTTTGGCGAGTTGGCGCGGTTGGAGTAGCGCGGCTAGAGCAGCGCGGCTAGAAACGACGAGGCGACGGTTACGGCGAGTCG